TTGGCAGAACCGGGGATTGAACTCAGGCCCTTGCGCTTGCCAGGGAAGCGCTTATTCCACTGAGCCATCTCCCCAGCACCCCCCCCTTTTTTTCCCTTGGGAGATTTGTCAGTAGCAGCTAGCATCACTAGAGGATACTTTTTCTTTGTTGTTCAATTATGGCAATATTGGTAGGTAGTGATGCATTTCTTATTTATGTTAAATAAATGTTAAAGATTTAAAAAAAACATTTATTGTTGGGATATTTGCTATTTCCACCTAACAGGTACAGAGAATACAGTTTTTTCAGTTATAAGTATTGTTATAACAGGTGTTGGGTCCTGTACATAGCTCAGTGGTAGAGACAGCACTTGCCTAGCATGTCTATAGGCCCCTGGGTTAAATTCTCAGTACATCCCCTCTCCAACTAAAGCAAACAAAGCAAATCAAAGCAAGAACAGGGCCGGTGAGATAACTTGGTGGTCTAAGTGGCTGCCTGGAAAGTACAAGGACCTGGGTTCAATCCTGGTACCGCTTGCTGTGCCAGCCGAGGAACCCTGGGCGTGCTGGGCTGGCCACTGAAACTGGGTGTGGTGGCACACACCTCTAATCCCAGCTTTGGGGAGGCTGAGACAGGAGGATCACTATGGGGCCAAGCTGTGATAAAATAAAAACAAAACAACACAGCAACAATAAAGAGTCTTGAGGAAAGACTTGGCCACATTTACATATAAACCAATATAACACAATACTTTGGGAAGAATATTCTATTAAAATATATATGTATAAATGCATATCCTTTATTATCCCTTTGTCATAGGATTTTTTTTTTTTTTATGATTTCAACAAGACAGTGAAATGGAAAATGATGTGAAACTTACCCCTGTAAATTCTATTACTTTTTTTTTTTTTTTTTGGTATTGGGAATTGAAGGGCCAGCCAGATAGCTCAGCAGATTAAAGCACCTGTTTAAGCAGAGCAGCAGAGCAGTGACTGGGGTTGATCCCTGTGTGCCTGCTGGCTCTGCCCCCAGGGCGCCCTGAACAGCCATTGAGACTGGGCATGGTGGCACGTGCCTGTAATCCCAGCTCTTGGGAGAATGAAAACAGGAGAATCACTATGAGTTCTATCTACATAGTGAGACCCTGTACTAAATACATAAAAAACAAAACAAAACAAAATAAAAAACCTGGGAATCGAAGTCAGGACCTTGTACTTAGCAGGCAGGCACTATGCCTTTGAGTTATGTCCCTGGGCCTAATTTCTCTTACTTGCTAACAATTATTCTGTCTGTGTATAAAGCAAGATGCTCGGGTGATTTGGTCTGCCTTTATGGAAGGTTGCAATCTAGACTGCAATGCATAAAAGAGGTATGCCTCTTATTTTTTTCACATTTATTCACTCCCTTCTTACCATTACTGAATTGGCAGACATGTAACAATGAAGGTTCATTCTTACCAAGAAGGGTGTTGATAGAATTCAGAGAAGGGAATACCAGCACAATTCATTGCCACCTGAGCAAATCCTTTGAAATGGAAAGGATTGTACAGGGACTCACACACCTTGAAGTACACAGTTCCCTTTTCTTTGACAATGGCAGCCTGCTCCAGTTTTTCTTTGGTGTCCATCTCCCAGGATTCTTTGGCCTGTGTGCAAATTTGTGGCAATGGTTAGATGAGCACATGAGGAAAATCACTGGTTGATGCCCTGAAGAACCAACCCAAATCTCAAAACACACCAGCCGTTACAGTCATATGCCACTGTGCCACTGCCAGGCTGGTGCTCTTTCTACTGCTTCTGAATTCACTTTCCATGATGGCCATGCTGCGGCTCGACCCATGCTGCCTGGTGGGTGGGGCAGACAAAGCACCCCACGAACATAAACCGCTAGCACTGCAAAGAGTCTCTCTGAGCACAGCCAATGAAGATGGGGCCTGTAGCTCCCTGCTGCACATCTGGCCACTAACCTGCTCTTCTGAGTTGAGCTAGTTGTTTCTCTCAAGCCTCAGTTTTTCAGTTCTAAAATGAGAACACTACAGTGGTCAAGTCATAGTTGTATATTCTTACAGAATTTTTCAAAATTCCAGGGCAGGCACCTGTCACTCTAAAAACCAGGATACCCTAAGTTGGTATGAATGGTATCACAGTGCTGATATATAGATGGGGAATTTCACATGAACAACCAAAAGTGCACAGCTTGGGAAGAAATATCACAACAGAGCCACAATTAAATGAGCTCATGGTCACCTTCTAGTTTGTATTACAGGTATCCTTACTCTCCATCAGCACAGATATAACCCAAAAGTAAATGCATTTTCCATATGAATAGCTAGATTTAGCTAGATAAAGTTAATGGAACAATTGAGGATTTTCTGGGAAACTGGTAATAGGTGTGGTGAGTAGTAAGGACTTAGTGCATATGAATTATGAAGTATAAGTGGGTAACTACAAAAATTTATGCAAAAGATAATTAGTAGGGGCTTAGGATGCAGCTCAGTGGTTAAGCACTTGCCAAGCATTCATGAGGCCCTTGGTTCCACTTCTGGCACTGGGTGTGTGTGTGGTATATGGGGTGGACAATTTGTGTCTGTGCCACAGCCAGGAAGGAGGGGGATATTAATGACTTGGTGATCATGTTGTCTCCTAACAACTTAGCCCAGTTATTTAAAAGCCTGGTTAACAAGAGCCCTTTGCTTTTTCATATTGGCTTCTGTCTTTATGGACCATAAATAGTCTTAATACTATAAGGCAGAATTAAACCACACTGCCCCAATGGCATCACAAGCCTTCTTGCATGTAAATCTACTCAGCAGTGCTGCATGAACACAATTATGGGGCAATAGCTGACACAGGGCTGCTGTGGCATGCCACAGACAGAATTCTCCTAAATAAGCACAGAAGGGAAGAGAGGGGTTCCTCTATAACAAGGGAAAGCAGAAAGCCATGTGCTAAAGGTTGTTTTTTTCCTCCTTAATAAAACCACAAGGTGCTGTGAAGACAGCACAGGAGGGTCAGTGAAGACTTAGCAGGTGTTCGAGACAGGTTGCCGAGCAACAAGTGATACAGGGAGAAGAGCCTGTGCTTGTGGGAGGGGTTTGATTAGGAGGACCCCAGCTTGGGGAGAAGTCCTCCCCACAGTGTCTCAGCCCAAAGTTTCAGGTCCACAGGACAACTATTTTCTTTTGGAGTCTGATAAATATAAACAGTTACACTTCTAGTCCAAAGCTTAATGCACAGAATATGGAGGTGGCAGTACTGTGGAGATAAAATAGGAACACAAAAGGCAGTTTCTGAGGAGCTCCAGGAAATGGATATTGGTCATACAGGGCCTGTAGCTGGCTGAGTGAGGCCGTGGCTCAGTCATGTGCTGTGTGTCCATCCAGTTCAACACTGCTGGGAGCCTCCAGAGGTGGTCCTGGGTTGGAAAAACCTCCCACTGAGGCAGACTGTTTCTGGAACTCAAGACAAATGACAAATCCTCTTACTTCTCCACTGTGACAGGTATGAAAATTCTAAAAAGGCCTAGGGATAGCAGGCTTTCTTGTGTCCTTGGTGGGACACAGAACAGGCTTCCTGGCCTAGCAATTGGGATAATAACTGGGAGCCCCAGCGTAGGCCTCTTTGTGACTCCTGAGAAGGGTACAATCCGTTCAGCCTTGGAAAGCTGCACCCCACTCCCCCAAGGAGCTGCTTGGCAGTACGTGATCCTTTTTGTCCTCAACCCAGAAAAAAAAGTACAAAAAGAACAAGTCTAGGAACAAATAAGGGAACAAGTCTTGGATTCTACCCAAAAAAGTTAAAAAAAAAAAAAAAAAAAGGCTGACACGTAGGAACAAAATAAGAACACTAAGCTCTCTGGTTGTGTATCAGCTGTGCTCTGTCAGTTGTCCCATGCTCCTGTAGCAGTGTGGGACACAAGAGACAAACCTGGTAATGAGAAACAACACAGCAACTGACTATACCACCCATAATAGAGTTAATAGGAAGTAGATGGAGAGGAACTCTACTATGATTTTAGAGAAGTTGGTATTTTCTCACCTTTTCGAAGCTCTTAAGTGTTACTTCATATATAAGCTCAGCATTAGGTTCAATGCCAAATTTAGGCTTCCCTGCCTCTCCAAAACCATATCTGAAATGGAGAGTAAAAAAATAAAACTTTAAAAGAATTGGTGTATTTCTAGGCACTTCCTTTGGTGTTCTGAGGTATCATACTAGCATAGAACTATCATTTGTAAGTTACATACATCAGAGACTCTGAAGACAAACCAGATGCTGATCAGAAGATACAGTGCCAAGTATTCCTCTGTGGCTTTTTAAGAATTCTGTCTAGATTTAGTTTCCTTTTCTTTTATATACACATATAATAGAACCCCCTACTACTTGAGACAACTTGCTCAATGCCTTTTTTCTCTGCCTGATTTAATATTTAGCTATTTTTAGCTATTAGGACTTTCTCCTGAAGCTTTACCAGCAAGGACAGAGGAGACACGGCCACTGTAATTGTTACAGTGATGTTCATTAAAGGTACATTTAATAAGCTTCTAACTTTAAGGTAATACCCACCACCTTCCAGTACTACCACTTCCAGTCAGAAAAATGGAAAGACATCTTAGAGAAGTGTATTCTCACAATATTTAAGATTTTAAAAGGTGCACAAATAAACACAAGTAAGTTTAAAAAATACATAATAAAAATAGCCCTACTGACTCATCAAGAGACATATGTAAGCTATACCCTTTTAGCTAAAACACTGAATAAAATAACTGGGGATATGCAAGTTTGTTTTTAAGGCCATTTAAGATCTCAGAGTAAGCATATTCAAGTAGCATGCATTTAGGGACTGGGTACATAGTTCAGTGACATAAGCTCCTGCCTGGAAAGCACAAGGTCCTGAGTTCAAGAAGTATGCATCTGCCAGAGGGGAAGCTCTAAGAGAGCCTGTGTATCTGGTTCTGTGGGTTCCTGGCATTTAGAACACTGCCCAGCACACTGGTACAGTGTTCCCTGGAATATTCCCTCCCATCCACTGTAAGTCAAACTACTTATGAATGTGTGAAATAGTACTACCATACAAAAAAACTCTGTAAGACCAAACTTTAGGTTATGGGTTGAAAGACATCAAAATTACCTCCAATTTTCTCTGGGATAGCAGGACTAAAGTAGGAAAAGACATACTTTGTTGCTTGTACTACCTTCTGCACCCCTTGCCTGATTGTCCAAGAAAACTGCTTACTCATTCACCTCCATGGTTACACAAGAAAATGTCAGCTGGAGCCAGGAGGCAGAGGCCTACAGGGAGAGCTGGTAAGAATGGGGTGTGGTGACTTTAATAGCAGGGCAAAGGGTCTCTTCAGCAAAGAAACAAAAGATGTAATTAGTAGTGGCCAATTTTAGGAAATGGTACCTACTTGGGAGCTTTTAAACTCTCCTATTTTATTTCTGCCACCTGGTAAATAACATTCCCTGCCTCCCCCGTTTACTGAGCGTGTGTTATGATTTGGAGTCCTATGTTAGGCAGGGAGAAGTGCAACAGATGATTTGGCATTTGCTGTAGACTGGTGGGTCTTAGTTGGGATACTTTTAACCATTCCTCCCTGGGGGCATCTGGCAATGTGTAGAGACATCTTGGGTTGTTTAAACTAGAGAAGTGAAACTGGTTTTGGGCGGGAGAAGACAGAACACTGCTGAGCAGTCTGCTACGCACAGCTCAGCTCCTATCTCCAAGAATTACCCGGCCTCAACATCAGTAGTCTGAGGATAAGAAAACTGCTGACAGGAGCTCACAAACAGGGTACCTGTAACTGAGCAGGAAGTATGAAGAACAGGTCAGAGGAGCCACCACAGCCTCCTGGCCGCTCTCAAAAGGATCAAAGCAGACTAAAGGAGACCATTACTATGTTAAACTGCAGTGATGCTGTCAAGATTAGGTGGGACGCAGCACCCTGTGAAGGCGCCTGATCACACTCAGTTGTTCTGGGAACTGTTTCCAACTTCTGGATCCCACAGAAAGTTGTCTGACATACTACTCGTCTGGGTAAAGAAGGACTCAGGGCACATAAGTCATCTGACAGAAAGATAAAATACCATAGATGACATTCCAGGACTTAACCAAAACAGCTTAACCTTAACTTAAGTTGGGCTGCATAACAGAAGAAATTTGGTATCAATGTCCTTGAATTAACAGTTTCCTCCAGTGCAGAGATACAAATAAGAAACTTTGGTGACCATCAGACCTTTATATGCTTCCAGTAAATACTTGCATTACCAGTTCTTTCCAACAGGTGAAGAAACTGAGGCTCAGAGAGAAGCCCTTCCTAGAAGTCACACAAAGAGGCAATGGCAGAGCCAGGATTTAAATTCTGAATCTGTGTGATCTGAGGAAACTATTTAGTTTTTTGGCTTATACTGCCTCATAATGAGACTCCACCACTCATGGCAACCTGTGTTTTTGTCTGAGGCTGGTGCAGGACAGAAGAATAAGGAAACAGGAAAGAGAAAAGTTAAAACTATCCACGCTTCACTTAAAATGAGAAAGGTTAATTAGTCACATCATTAAAAACAACAACATAAAGGGAAGATACTACCCCAATGAAGAGAGAAAAATGAGTTCTTTGGAAGTGTCTTATGCATTTTTTTAGTACGAAAACATTCTGCCAAGGAATCAAAGTCAAAAAGAAACTGTTCCTTGGAAGTTTTATGGAGAATGATACATAGATGACACTAAGCACAAATTTGCAACCGCCATATTTACAGCAACACCCAGATGCAATGGCAAGTGGAAATCTGAACAAGATAAGTAAATTCACTGTATGCACACAGAACATGCTTGGTGCGCACGGCTCTTCTATACATGAGTGCAGTATTACACTGTGTGTGTGTGTGCGCGCGCGTGCGTGCACATGCACAGACATTTGGCAGAGAATACACTTGGTACTTCATCTCAACATACCAACACACTGAGCAGAAAATAACACGCACCTTTCTAACTACACTAAACCATATTCCTAAAACATGAGCAAACTTTTATGTTTAGAGGCTTGTGAAAACTTGTTGAGTACTTTTATGCTTGAAAAGATCTGAAAAATCTACCATATGTTAAAAGAGGATTTTCTTTTTCTGTGGTCGAACGGTGAAATGAAAGAGAAACACAGCCATCCCAAAAGACGTGGAGCCTGGTCATAATGCAGGCAGTTTGCTAAGCACTTCACCTGTGTTACCTCAGCCTGCCCTCCACACCTTCATTAGGAAGATGCTGCTATCCCCGTTTACACAAGGGGAAACTGAGGATCAGGGGAGTTAAGTGACTTCTCAAGCTGCAGCAGAGCAGGCTTGAACCACGGGTGATACAGTTTAAACTTGCAAGGAACTACTTGCATTAATAAAGTCAATTTCTGTTTTCTTTTGCCATTGAATTTGAGACACCTCCACCCACACTGCCTTATCAGGTAGGTTAAAATGTAATACTGATTTGTATTATATGCTGACAATATGTACAGAACTTATATTCAAGGGGCTTAAATTTGAAAACACACATGAGACAAATCCCCCCCCCCAAATTTAGAAATCCTATAATTTTGAATGCTAGACTTAAATAATTACAGATTATTTGGCTATGGAGGAGAGAGCCTTCTCTATGTTCTACTTTACTAAAAAAAGTTCCTGTTAGAAATAGAAATAGCTTCACCTCAGAATTACAATGTAGAATAAATAAAACATATTGAAGTAGGAATATAGTAGGAAAAAAAGAAAATAGGATAGAGAAAAGGAAGTATTACACAAAGGTGCTTTCATAAAGGCTTTAAAGAGTTTAAAGCAGAACATTTTGGAAAGATTTTGAGTGCATAGTAGCATGACTAAAACATCATCTGAGAAATATTATTATGATCAAGAATTTGGGCAAAGGTGAACATGCCACTGGATTACTACAGAGGATACACAAAGGCAACAAACAGTACAAAAAGCACAGGATTTTTACTGGCAAGGGCAGGTCATCAAGGATGGTGGAAACATCCTACCATCAGAAACTCATGGAACCCCCAAAGGAAGCCCACCAGATAAGCAGACCACTCTTTCATGAGAACAGAATCAAAATATCCTGGGGTATCTCAGGGGTCTACTATTCAAGATAGAAGGGTTAGATTCATGGTATAATTTTAGACCTAAAAATAGTACCAAGCATATTTTTGCCTTTAAAAAAAAAACATGTTTTCATAATACACACTGTCAGATCTGATAGTTCTAGGCTTGGAATTGCTAACGGAGATCCTTATGATGGGAAAAATTTAGGCAAAAATGAGTCATCTCTGCTGCCTTTAGATCCAGGAAGAATACACTTTTTTTTTTTTTTTTTAAAGACTCCGTATAAGAACATGTGGCATAAATGCAAGTAGTAGTAAATCATCCAAATGGTTCTTTAACTCCTAAGGCCCACATGTTTTACTGTCTCCTGCCCAATTTAGAGAAAAGACAAGAGGGGGTAGGAGAACCATATGTGAGAAGGGCAACAGCTGCCTGACTCTGGGAATATGGCAGACAAAATGTGCCTGTCTGTCCTGTCTTTAACCCCCATCATACAAGTAAACATGCTCACAACCCCGTGTGATATGGTAAGGCCGACTAATATACTTGATAACTAACTGTAACCTGACTCAATGAAATGTTTCCACTGTTGCATTAAGTTCATGGAAGATACCAAGATACTGAATGAAAAAGCATGCATATTCCTGCTGTCTATACTGCTTCACAGAACATGGAACTGGTAGGCTGCTTACCGTGGACCAAGATATAAAATACACTGTTCTTCCCGCTGCATTTTCTCCATGGCTTTGTCAATTCCAATAGGAATGTCGTGGTCTTCTCCTTCACCAACAATGAATACCACATCTCTGCAATCAAACATCCTTCCACCATAGCGGCCTTCCAGGTGGACTGAAGGTGAGAAAGGTCAGTCAACAGAGCTGCTCTTTACCATAGGATGCTTTAGTGAAGGCACAAATGAGTGGCTAGCAATACCACAAATACCATTTCTCCTTTCTTATTTCATCAACCCACCCAGTCTGAAAGTTGAAGGGCTAACTGTAACCTGACTCAATCAAATCACTGTTGCATTAGTTCATGGAAGATACTAAGATACTGAATGAAAAAGCATGCATACTCCTGCTATCTATACAGCTTCACAGAACATGGAACATTTTTAAATAATTATAAAATACCACAAATTTAATATCACACATATAATGACTCAGCCATCTATAACTGCATCTTGTTGCTGATGCCTGGGCGAAAAAAAAAAATCCCAATTGAATTTCCCCAATGACAGATTAACTGACATTTTTCTTGAAGACTCTTTAATTACATTCATAAATGTACTTAAATAAAAATGGAACACCCAAAGATAAAAAAAATATCAATAACCAACTTAGTTGTCTTTCTTAGTGGAGGTAATAAATATAAAATGAGGGAAATAATAGTTTCTATCACTTCACAGCCAGGGAGATGGCTCAGTGGAATAAGAGCTTCTCTGGCAAGCCGAAAGGCCTGAGTTCTAATCCCTCATTCTGCCAAAAAAAAATAGAAAAAGAAAAGAAAAGAAATCCTCCACTATCACTTCACAAATCTACTAAATTAATAACTTCTCTTGAACTATTCAGTGAAAAAGTCAATTTCTAGCTGGGCAAGGTGGAGCACACTTGGAATCCCAGCACTCTGGGAGGCTGAGGAAAGAGGAAGTTTGAGTCCTGCCCAGAAAACTGAGCAAGACCTTCTTTCAAAATTTTAAAAATAAAAGTAAAAGAAGCCTGGTGACACAGACAGTACAAAAGCCCCAGATTCTGGAGAAATAGTAAATTTTGTGGGGCCTAAATCCCCACAGCACCCAAATCTACTCAGCTCATTCCTAGAATTATTTCACATAGAAAAGATGGCTTTCATCTTGTTTTAGGACAAAACAGGAAAAACATATATCTGAAGGGCCAGGGAGATGGCTCAGCAGAATAAGCACTTGCCTGGCAAGTGCAAGGACCTGAGTTCAATCCCCAGTTCCACCAAACAAACAAACAAACAAACATATATCTGAAACTTTTAAATTATTTCTATTATTTCTCATATTTAGGATATTTATGCCTTTCCATTTAGATTTCCTACAACATTCCTACTTTTTTTTTTTTTTTTTTTTTTGGCAGAACCAGGGATTGAACTCAGGCCCTTGCGCTTGCCAGGGAGCACATATTCCCCTGAGCCATCTCCCTGGCCCAATTCCTATTTTTTTAAGACAGGGTCTCAGTATGTAGTTTACATAGGCCTTGAACTCCCGGTGATCCTGCCTCAGCCTCATGAGTGCTGGGATTGCAGGTGTGTACTACCACGCCTGGCCCCGAAAACACTTCTGTTCTAAGACTGACTGATCACCTGTAGATCAACAATTTGTTTTAGGGAGACTAAAAAAAATAAATAAAATTACTCATTCTTTCATACTCATCCCATGTCCAATAAGACAACTAATATTTTCCAAACACAAAATTCTATTTCAATTTATTCCACTTTTGAACTGCTGATCCCTTGAAACTCTAGAAATTTATGATTCTATGACCCAGTAATCTTTAGGCCTGAAACCAGCCTCACCACTAATTCCCATAGTTAATCATTTGATCAGATTACTTTTATCCTAGACCTGAAAAATGGGAGAAATTCAGAAGAGTAAACAGCAGTAGTGTAGATAGAAGGGGCCCAAATGTCACCTGGACATTACTGCTTTAAAGCTCTCCACCTTTTCTAACTTACTGGGGTCAGTAGCATCTTAACTTGTTCCCACTGCAGCCACACTAGCGAGGGCTTGAATCTTGAGTCAGCTCTTTCACCAAAGGCTAGGGCTAGAGCTAAACTGCTTTCGGCATTTTGTTTTATATCCCATACTCACAAATGCAGATGATTCTATTTTAGACTCACTTTTAGAATAACAGCTCAATAAAATAATCAGCCTGCAGGCAAGTTAAATTTCTTCTGAATTGGAAAACATTTTAAAAATAATAATTCAACTTTATTTTTATTTTTATTTATTTTTTTGGCGGAACCAGGGATTGAACTCAGGCCCTTGTGCTTGCCAGGGAAGTGCTTATTCCACTGAGTCATCAACTTTATTTTTTAAATATATGCATATTAGAGATTCTGCAGTGTAGGGTTTAAGGTATTTTTATTGGCCAAAAGCTGACGTTTTATCAGCACAGCTGTGTGTGCCCCTAATTCTGGCTACTTGGGAGAATGAAAGGCAGGAGGATCACAAGTCGGAGGCCAGCCTGGGCAACTCAGTAAGACCACAGCCTCTAATCAAAAATTAAAAGGGTTAGCTCAGTTGTAGAGCACTTACTTAGCACGCATAGGCCTTAGGTTAATCGTTTAGTACCACCAAAAAAGCTCATAAAAAACCCCCAAAAAACCAAACTGGCATTTCTAAAGGGTTGAGAGTTCTTAGAAGTCTGCATATCTAAATATTTTTAAGTTTGCCCAAGCAATTTAATTTAGACTAATGGATGACACTTTTCATAAAAAAAGGTTTGCTAAGTAAAGTGAATTTCAGTACAGGCATTACACACTGTCTCAAGTATTGAGATCTATTGTCCTAGTAGTTAGTGGATTAGTCAACAGATTTTTTTTTCTTTTGCTTGAGGCTTATTGTTCGAAACATCATCTTCTTCCCTAAAGGAGAGTACATTTAGTAGAGGAGGAAATTATCAGTACATTTGTTGTGGCTTTTGGTTGATGAAGTCTGAATGTGTTTTCAAAACAGGAAATCCAGAGGCTGCGAAAGATTCCTGCCTATGTGTCAGTTTCCTAGACTGGCTTTCAGCTTGAATGTATGTGCTTAAAGTTACATAATTTCAGCTCTCTTCACATGTGGTAGCCCATCACTGGAGGTCAGGGGGAGACTGGCTACTTATAAACATGTTAGGAAAGATAAAAGAAGAAAATCAAGAAAAGAAAAAACCAAACTACAACAAAGGCATAACTAAGAAAGGAAAATACTATAGCTTTCTGAAAAAGATAGTAAATCAGACAACAGGTGTCTTTGATCATCTGTAATTAGCTCTTATCAATACCTTATATTCCCCTGATAAATCTAATTCTTCAAAATGATACCCAGTCACACACCCATATATCCTGTTTATGTGTATATAAAACCATCACTTTGTAACAGTGAGTTAGCTGAAATGTTAGATCAAGAGGCAGTATCAGAGCCCTACGTGTACACAGACCACTCATTCTTTACGAGTAGCAAAGGCTTGCCGAGTTACTAGCTTCTAAACTTGGAACGCTGGTGTGACAAGTTCTACAAGACCACTGGCAAGAACTCCTATACCAGTAGAAGCCACAGAAAGACTGCCCACTGCTACAGTGATTTGGGTGACAGGTGCCTCCTATAGATCCACTTTTTGTCTTTCATACTGTCTTCATAATTGCACCAACAAAACCTGTGGCACCTCTGGCTGTGGAAGACATGTGGTTGCTTTTGACCTCATATCTCTTAGTGCAAATACTCACTTAATAAATATTTAATAATAACCATTATGACTCACTTGAGAGATCAGCCTCTAGGGCTCAGGAGGTCTGTTGCTAATCTCAACCAGCATGATTTGCGGGAAGTAAATGATCTATGACGTGTCTAAAGAGAATGAAAGTGCATACAGGATGCTTCTACTTAGGGCTTTTTTTGGTAGAGAAAGAAGTAAACAAGTTAAAAAGAGACAATGTTTTCTCTTGACTTAAAGTCTATGTAACTTAAATGGGGTGGAGGTCCTCCAAACCCCCAGAAGTCAAACCAAACCAAATTACCCAAGATGAGCTGCGCAATCCGAGTGTAACCACATCAAGTGAGCCCGATCTCCTGCAAAACATCATTTAAACTGGAGCTCTGACTTATTGTTCTCTTACTAGAGCAATTTTGTTTTGAAGAGCACAGAACACCCTGTTCTGAATGTGGCTGGCACATGAACTCGATGTGCTGACAGCAATTTGTACTCCGATTAAAATAGGGGGGAAAAAAAGGAAAGAGTGCATAGCAGTAACAAAAACTGGAATGCAAGAACCCCAAAACTGTACAGTTTGTATTTTAGGAAGCAAAACTGAGAAAGAGGCTTCAAAACTTTTTTTAAAAAGTGCTGTAAATGCTCCAGCCTAAAGAAGCTAGCTCTGGTAAGTGTCTGTTTTCCCCTTTTCTAATTATAGTAGCTGGTGTCCGATAGCTTTGCACTCATTCCCAAAACAATTACCGGGTCATGGGGATCTGAATGGGAATGTTGTAAGGCACTACTACTAGACAAGACTGGTCACTGGACCAGGAAAACCAGGTTGGGACAGGTTACTCCCTCTTGGCCGGCCAGGGTTTTCCTTGTTCCTACCTCATGCCAAATGAGTCTCTGTCTAATACAGCAAGGCATTGAGAGAAGGGGACCTTGCTGAACCCCTGAAAGGACAGCAGAGGGATTTCTAAAAGCAGGAGAGGCACATCAATCACTGATTACAAGGCAGCAGGTTTTAATCAGGCATGATGGTCATGTTTTCCCCAAACTGCCTCTATCCTCCTTGGGCGCTATCTGAGGTGAACAAACACTACTGAGGTTACTTGTGGCACTGGAGGCGGATGCTAGTGGGGCAGTGGGAACCTGGCTACTAGAATACTATCACATTTATTCAAGTGATTCCTTAGTCTAACCAAGAAAGCATACACTACTCCCCACCGAATAACTCTACCACAGACACACCCACTCCTCCCTTCACACCAGCAGAGCACTTGAGCCAGTCTCGTTCTGCTGCTTAATAATTAAGGCTTGGGAAGCAGTTGAAAGTATAAGTTCTGATTCTTCATCTATAGAACAGTGATAATAATACTAGCTAGCTCACAACTATTGACTGGGTTGACTTAGTGGTATCTAATA